CGCTGTTTCGAAAAAAGTGTTGGTTAGGGCCTTTGTGAATTAAGGTAACGATATGTAATTTCACAACATTAAAACCGTTTATCTCGAGTTTTGCTTTTTTGAGTTATGACACTATTGAAATGATTGGGCCATATATGTATATAGTTATCTTTCGTAAAGTTTCACGACTATGTTGGTAATGTTATCAAATTACGTGCTACAACAATACGGCAGTATACAACACCTTGTGAACTCCCTAATTGATACCAACAGCTCTGATCAATGGTTTAACGCCAAAATTCAAAATGATGTTGTTTGAAACTTATGTTTATTTATTAAGTTTTAATAATTTTCATTTAAAATATAATTCGATCTGTAACAGAAACAACATAAACAACAGTTTCAAAGCTTGCATAAATTTCACAAAAATTAATCAAGATTCAAAAAATGTTCATTAAATTTCAAACTTTTTAATCAGAATCTTTACAAAATCTTAGGGTATGCAGTTTTGTAGCCCATTCAATTTTAGTCTAACCGGGACGTTACACATTCAACTTTCCCCTTTCAATTTTCAATACACTCGCACTTTTTCACTGACACACTCTTATTTGCTTTCAATTTTTCCCTTTCAATTGAGTTTCAATTTTGTGAAAATAAAAAAATACTAAGCTTCTGCATGCTAAAATATTAATCGACAATGGAATTAAAATTGGAAAATGGTATTCAGAAGCTAGTTAGTTACATTGTTTTCTTGTAGTCGCTAAAAATTACCGTTAGTTTTTCAGTTTTATTTTGTGGAGGGTGTAGCGAATTTTCTTCCTTATAAAAAAGATGTCGATCATGCGTTATATGGAACAAAATGCGCGACTGCATACCCGAAAAGTTTCTAAAGATTCTGATGAAAATGTTTGAAATTCTGATGACAATTTTTTTAATTTTCATTAATTTTTGTGAAATTTGTGCAAGCTTTAAAACTTTTATTTATCGGGCATGTTCTGAAATTCGAAACTTTGAAATCGACTCGAATTGCCAAATAGTTTTTAATTATATCTGATGAAAAGAGTGAATATTCTAATTGAAAACCGTAAAAAAAGCAGCAGCGATATGAAATAAATCATTTGAATGCGAGACTTGTAAATTTTTTGGTTAAAAACCATCGAAAAAATTATCGAAATCGAGTCGATTTAAAATTTTCGAACTTCAGAACATGCCTGTATGTGATTTTTGTTATAGATTGAATTACATATATTTTAAATAACAAATATTAAAAATAATAGCTGTATGTAGTATGTATCAATAAGGGAGTTCACAAGGTGTTGGTATTTTCGCGGCTAGGATCGGTATGGAGGAAGGCGAATTTACCGTTTTCGCAAATTGAGAGCAAATATTTGTACTGGAAGCTGGTACCATATATAACTCAAGTTCGGACAAATTGCTAGTTATGAGTTTGCAATGATTGACCACGATATCACTTATGAGTTGTCAATGTTTGACCATCGATATCTAAAAGTTACAATATATATAACATCAATTTTGAGATAATTAATGTCCATAAATACATATGTATGTATATCATTTTTTCTTTTCACATTGAAATAGGGTGCATTCCAAAACGTTAAAGTACAAAACATCAGTCTATTATTTCTAAACCGCACTACAACNTTTGAGGTATTTTCAAATCGGTCCAGCTCACGTAAATCTTATTATTTTTCCGAAATATTTTGGTAGACGTTTTGAAACATAACAGATTTTGTAATCGCGGCGGAAAACCGCAACTTCTTTTTTGGTGATGCAGTCTAATGTACATATGTACATGGTCTGTGAACATTTCTTGTGCACGATTTCAAAAATTACAATTTTTGAATTAATACACTTTTGAAGAATGTCTGAGATATACTCGTTTTGTTGCACAAACTATAAACGCACTATTTTCTCCAACAAGAAATCGGCTAAAACTTACCAACGCTGCTCCGCATTTCTTGCATACAAACGCAACATTGCAATTTTTTTTATTTAATATAATTAAAATTTTAGATTTACATGTTTAACAAAGACCATACTGTTAAAACTTATCGGTCAATTTAAATTGCTGGCTCTTAACAGTGGAGCGTTTTTTTCTTGTTAGAGAGTGCACATACATATAGATTCATACATAATATGTAAGTAAAATGTATGAACTCATCATCCTTGTAATAAGAGTATGTTGAGACACATGTCTTTTCAAAACATTCATTCTAGCTCATATTCTTGAAAAATTTCAATTCAACTTGAATTGAGGTAAATATAGAGAACATAAAAAAATAATGTAATAAAAATAAAAAGTTCATGCTTAAGTTATCGGAAAAATAATATGCTAGAGTTTGGCTACCTTTATGAAAGATATGTCAAACATCCGATAACTACAGCTTCACATCCACCACTTATTCAATATGAATATCAGAGTATTTTACCTGCGTTTAATTATCGACTTCATTATTTGATAATTACGCCAGTAACAATGCCACCATCACAGATGGCACACATATTTACGCTAACATATCACAGATTATATAAGTATATATATGTACATTATGGAGAAACTTTAAATTACAAAAATAAAGATTGTAAATAAATTCTTCTCATTATTATTACTGGATTTAACTTTAAATAGGGAAGGTACCAATGCATTCGATATCTCTAAATATGAGAATAAGAAAAGTATAAATATATCGTCGCCTCATAAAAGGGATGTCGAATGACCAAAATTACGATTTTGGAATTTTGATGTAGATTTACTAAATTGGCATGCTCTTTTGATTTCTGCAATCCATNATGGAGAAACTTTAAATTACAAAAATAAAGATTGTAAATAAATTCTTCTCATTATTATTACTGGATTTAACTTTAAATAGGGAAGGTACCAATGCATTCGATATCTCTAAATATGAGAATAAGAAAAGTATAAATATATCGTCGCCTCATAAAAGGGATGTCGAATGACCAAAATCACGATTTTGGAATTTTGATGCAGGTTTACTAAATTGGCATGCTCTTTTGATTTCTGCAATCCATTTTTTTTATCTCCCTTAATTTTAGATATATTTCGTGTGCATTTTGTAGTATATTACATAATATTAATAATTACCCAGAAGCAATTTTGTCAAGGCCTTCCCTCTGCAAGTAATTAACAACAGCTCCTAAAGGTGTTCTTACACGATGTGTTTGCATCTGTAAATATGACTTTTTCAATACATACGTAATTGCGTATGTCTGTCAAATTCACAGTCTTTATTTAACTATTTAAAAATACATTCTTTGAAAACGAAATAAACTAAACTCAGATGATTCTATCTGTGTGTCAGATGAAAATAGAAACATTTCTGTTTCGTATGTACGAGTATCTGCTTTGTACAGAAACAAATCTAATTTGCCTTGACACGATATGTTGCCATTTCCATATGTAAAAAGTGGCATGTACACATGCAAATACATATCGTGTAAGAACACCTTAAGCATGTGCAGAGCACATCTAAACCTGACANTGGCATGTACACATGCAAATACATATCGTGTAAGAACACCTTAAGCAAGTGCAGAGCACATCTAAACATGACAGAGTGCTTCCAGTGTTCCTTTTCGAGAAGTGAGTAGGCAACGTGTTACTGACATGAGGTACACAAGTTTGCAAATAAGTTTGTTTGAACGATTTGATTCAAATAAAGATTTGAAAATACATTTACATGTTGTGGCTGTAGCCGAGTGCATGGAGATGTTTGCTATTATTTATTAACTTTCGGGAAGGTCTAGTTAGTGTAGACTTAACTTAACTTAAGTGAGAAATCGTCAATGATTACTCAGCACGTCAACTTAGCCAGAAGCGAAAATATTTCTTTTTTGTATTTTCCTTTTCAGCTGATAGCCACTTGGCCGCCTATAAGCCACATCACAAAATTCCTGAACAAAAATGTAGTGCTTTGGCTAGTATATTAGATTAAGCTACGTAAATTAAGTCTAGACTGACTGAACGACAAATGTATACGGAATGTACACCCCTATCGCCAGTGTCGACTAGTAGTAGATAAACAACTCTTATTCGATTACCGCTTTTCCATAGTATTGTGAATGTCGATTTCTCACTTATTGAACGAAAAAACTACTTTGAAAATACCACGCATATCTACTACTAGTCGACACTCGCAATAGGGGTGGTAGTCAATTTTCTCATTAACATTTAGAGGTATTAAATTAAAAAATATGGAAAATAAAAAAAAAATAGCGCCAAGTACGTCTCCTTCAAAAATTATAAAAATTGACCGTATAGGTTTTGATTAATTCGACCTTAAAAAATTTCAAAGTCAATTTTCTCAAAACCGTGTTTTGTAACATTCGACATCCCTTTTTTGAGGTGCCACAATGCAAAAAGGCCTCCAATGACAAATTAAAAATTTTAAATAATCAAACAACTATGCTATATTAGAAATGCCTTCAAAGCATTTGAGGCTTGTTTTTAAACTTCGGTATGGGGGATAGCGGATAGCAAACTAACGGATTATTAAAAATTTCATTTGGAAAGCGTGATAAATAAGTCCTTTTGCATTGACAATGTTAATATATATTCATGTAGATATCGTCGTTTATGCAAAACCGCGTATCAAGATAATGCAAAACCGCATATGTGAGTTTGCATAAATTATTTTCTAGAGTAAAAACACTCATATTTCGAAATGGTTATCTTTTTATAAAGCAATCGTATTTCTGTCTTGTATATTTTAGGACGAATGGATAAGGACTCAGCCAAGAGCTTGTGTGAGAAAATCCAATTTTTGGCAGCAAATGTCAGTTACGCGGTTTTGCAGAATGACGATACGCGATTTTGTACTTTAAACTACGATATGTTTCATTGAGATAGATCGTATATAACAAAAAAATATATACGTAATAAAATAAACATCGCTGTATAAGTTTTGTGTGCGTTTGCAGCGTAAAGCTTAAAATTTAGTTAAGATAGAGGAAGAAAAAGTATGCTTTAAAAATAAAATTTATAAAATGTTTAAACTACGTGTACGATTTGCTATCATAATAATAATATAATAAGTATCAAGTATTTTGATAGGATTTGAGATCGTTTGCCTCGAAAGTACTCGAATAACTAATAAAACCGTACATTTTAAAATTAATATTACTAGTTATTTTTTTTACAAAATTCTTATAGATATCTTTTTTATGTGTGTAAGCGTTGGTCAATTCGAAGGAAATGAAAATAAAATGAATCTTTCTCAAATACATTATATCGGTCACTTAAAATTAAGTAACAACGTAACTGTTTTTACATTTTTTTATCACTTTTAAACGTTCTAATAGGAACAAAATTGAAATAACAATCGCAACCCTTATGGCAAACACTTTAAAATCAAAATGTGGGTGTTCACACCTGTCTGGTTATCAGGTTATGTGGCCATATTTCTTATTCAGTTACAACAATCAAATACAATATAGAACAATTTTTAACCAGATAACCTAATAACCAGGTAAGTGTAAACACCTACATGCATTGCATTATACAATTTCAGATACATATTTTTGTTCGAAGTGTACATGAGTTGGAAAAATCTATAGAAATGAAATCATTATATACCTATGTCAAGAGGTAATTGCAAATGTACATACGTTATTAAAAGACATAGTTCAATATTTCAAAAAAAAAAAAAAAAATCGCAGCCCATTGGAGTTACAATCAAAATGTGTAAACCATGCCCCGTAAATTTTTAATTTACAATTCCAATACCAGAAATCGGAAATAACAGTTTTCACTTTCAAATATAATCGCACTTAGTCAAGGGGATAAACAGAGGTATTCACTTATTAACAACGGTAAATAGGGCTATTATGGTATTGTCCAATGAGAAACAAATTGCAATATGTGACCAACAGACACTGAGAACGCGGAAATATAAATTTTATACCGTTACGCATAAAAAGTTTTTTTCTGCTTAACTGTTATTTGCGATCTCTGTCTAATACCAATATTTCGGTAGTATACGGTAGGTAGTTGAATGTCTATAGATTGTTCTTGTTAGTATTGTGTGCAATCAGTTAAGTGTTAGGATGCTTTATGTTAGTATTTGTAAGGATATATTACAAACAACTCAAATGAAACATTGAAAATACTATGAAAAGAAGCTAACAATAATAATAATAAATGTAATAGGGTTCCGAAATAATAAGTAACAATAATCATGGCGACGCACAGAACAGAGGTGCATATATAAATATTGGTAAAGGTATTCAGCACAAAAGATTTTATATGTATGTAAATATATAAGCATAAAAGACAATACAGTAGTTTGGAATTTAACATTTTAAAATATTTTTTATTAATTAATGGAAATATCAATATACAATCTTCTTCTTCTGATGTGCACTCGCAGGAATAAATCCGCAAATAACTACTGGCGCCAACTGTTGTATTTCCACAGTTCCACTTACTAAATCTTAAATCGGGCGTCCTCCGAAATTGCTCGACGTTCGCAATACTCTCTCTTTTCACATAAGTTTTGGATAATGCGGGTATGTAATGATATAACTGCTGTGTATTTCCCCATACTTTATTTCTGCTTATTTTCCTGCTAAAACCTTGGTTGAAGATTACATGTTGCATTTCAAGTTGATAGTTTCCGACTTAAGAGTTTACATCTATGTGTATGTATAATTCCTTATATATTTTTATAGAGACGATTCGGTTGAGCTAATTCTGGATTCCATTCGAATTCGTCTGTTATGAAACCGCACATTGCGATTCCTTTGCAATTATGTTATTTTATATTTTACTTGTTTAGACCATTTAAATCTATTTAAAATAATAGTAATCAATTGAAAGTGTAAATTCGCAAACAGAATTTGCAATGGAGCCTGTCGTAAAAGTTGAATAAGTGTGGATTATTTTCTTTTGAATCTTCGCAATGCATACCGTCGACCTACTCTTCTTGTGTACATTGATTTAATTTGTTGCAAGTGCTGAATTGGGTTGTTCTTTTGCTGCACTGAATTTTTAATGTCGTGAGCGATGTTCCTCGCGTCGATCACGGTCCCTTTCCCGATCTCGATCTCTATCACGCTCCCTTTCCCGCTCTCTATCACGCTCGCGGTCGCGATCTGATGACCGATAACGTTCCTCATAATAGCTGCGCTTAGATGGTACATCGCTGACTGCTTCAGCGATTGCTTCAGGCGATTTCCGGGGACGTGCGGAACGGCTAGAGCTACTTTTTTTTTCAAAATAATTATAATGTTTAATGTTAGTTGAAATGAATTGAATGTAAATGATTGAGTATCTTAAAATCAGTGTGTAAAAAAGTGCTAAGAAGCTACCTGTCATCTCTGTAGTGATCTGGTACGGGACGTTCACGTTCCCGGCTTCTAGAGCGTTCTCTATATCTAGAACACAAAGTTTTTGGAAAAGATGTTCAAGTTTTTCTTTTAGAATTCATATAATAGAAATGAACTTACCCCCCTTCACGATCGCGTTCGCGTTCGCGCTCTCTGTCACGTGAACGTTCTCTATAACGAGATGATGAGCGTTCCCTGCGTTGTCTAGGGCGATGGGTACGTTCCCGAGATCGTGAACGCTCACGACGATTGTAACTTTTTGTTTCGATGCCATGCAAGGTATCTTGCAAAGAGCTGATCAATATTTTACAACGCTCGTCATGTGCCACTTTCGATTGCTTGATAAGCGAAATTGCCGTTACCAAAGTTTCAATAGCACTGGAGTACTCCCCGGCGGCCGCATCTGAAACGGCTCTATAGAAAAGAGAAAAAAATATACATATATATATACACATATCAAAGTTTTAATTTTAGTAATTTTTTAAGAATTTGATCGCCATATTGGGTCCGCCATTTTGTATTTAAAAAAATTGACTTCAGATTCGTAATCAGCGACCACAAAAACTCCAGAGTGCCGGGTTTCGAACAAATCCAGTAATTTTTTAAAAAATTGGTGGCCATTTTGTATTCGCCATTTTTAATTTTGAAAAACTGACTTCAGGTTCCTAATTAGCAACCCCAGAAACGACCTGGCAAAAAATGCGTAAATGCGTAAATTTTCGGGAACTAGGTCCATTCTAACTGTCCAAGACAGGTAAGTAATTAAGGGCATGTTCCCCAATAATACCAGAGTAATTAAATGTGAGAACCACATTTTTGGCTCCATTTTAACATGTCAAGAAAAAAATAAAAAATTTAGAACATCAGAGTTTTTATAAAAAAACCTACCAGCGCGAACTGTAAAAAACTCTGGCAAAATATTTTTTTATTTGCACTTTTATTTCAACATATTTTGATTAAAAGAAAAATACTGATAAAAATAAAATATTTCACGCAAACAACAAAAAATATAATCGATAATCGCATGAGGCTATTGCCTGAAAATTTTAAAATTCACTTATTGGCATTGTGCTACTATGATAGACAGCGAGTAATCATAGTCAACTTATTTGCAGTAGAATGCATCACTCCCCACACAAAAAAAAAAAAAACGGTACTGTTTTTCCACTGGAAATATAAAATCTATTATATTTTAAGACTTCCGCCAAAATATCACACAAAAATATTAAGATTTACGTGAGCTGGACCGATTTGAAAATACCTCCAAAAATTGAGTTTTTTATTAATAAAACAGTTTTTTTTTAAACTTTTTGAAAAATTACCTCGGAAAGTTTACATAAAAATATGTTTAAAAAATTTTCTACGAAATAAAAATAATCAGATTTTTGATGCTGTTTTTGCACATTTTTCAGAAAAACTTGGATAACTCAGGCAAAACCTTACCAATTTAGACCCTTTTAGGAAGGTAAGATAAACAAGTGTCGTTCCATGTTGAATTAAGATGCGTGGGTATTGAATAAAGAAAAAATTGGGATGTGAATGAGTTTTTTGCAAAGAAATAAAAAGGTTGAGAAAATACCTTTCCACTGATACCTCGTCAATATAAATCGGTAAAGTTTTGGAGCAGTTATTCAAGTTTTTCTTACACAAACTGTTGAAAAAAGTTAAAAAACAGCATCAGAAATCTCATTATTATGATTCCGTTGATAAAATTTTTTAATATTTTTATGTAGATTTTTTAAGCTTAAACTGTCATCTGAAGGGATTTTTTCCAAAAAATCCTTTAAGAAACTATATTTATTCATAAAAGAAAATCCATTTTTACCACCTCACGTAAATCTTAATATTTTTCCGAAATATTTTGGTAGAAGTCTTAAATATACTAGGTTTGGTAATCCCGCCGGAAAAACCGCAACTTTTTTTGCTGATGCAGTAGTACAGTAGTCGAAAAAACTATAGCCGCACCAAATTTTCACAAGTTTTAGAATATTATTTTTGTTGTTATTTAATTTTGGTTAGTTTTTTTATAGTTCATTCTTTAACAACATCCGTATAAATACAAGTTAAAAAAAAATGTTTCCCAATGTTGACACTTGCAAAGTGTCCGAAAAAACAGTTCTTCACGGACACAATGCGAAGATGGGCAGACACAGACCCTCAATTCTGCACATTCGACACTAGGCTCAAGCAAATACCGCTGTTTTTCACGGGAAATTCGAAGCACATTTAAATTATGTAAGAAAAATGGGAAAAAATCTACATGAAAAAATAATTACATTCTTTTTTCGCTACTATGAAAGGCTGAAAATCTCGATAAAATGTCTCTTCCCTATTTACATTTTCGCCACCGTTCACGCGTATATCCACACATGCGCCTACCGCTACTCTTATCTCAACAACCAAAGACACTTCTTGATTTTGTTCAGTTGCTCGATGAAATGTGTCATGGTCATGGGCTTTGCTCAACCGAAAACACAAAACAGATAGCACATGCAAAGAGAAAAAAGTGTTCTGCTCAGTACGAGACCAAGTGTGCTTCGTTTTTTTCTGTTTTGTTAGTGAGCAGACAGCATTGGAAAAATGTGTCAACAGTTATTTGCGAGCTCTGTATAAAAAATTAATAATATTATAAGTCGTTTTTTCGAAAACTTATTTTCGAACCAAAGGCCCCATTTAACTTTCCTTGTCATATATCGTTACCACAACACAAAACACAAAACAGATAGCACATGCAAAGAGAAAAAAGTGTTCTGCTCAGTACGAGACCAAGTGTGCTTCGTTTTTTTCTGTTTTGTTAGTGAGCAGACAGCATTGGAAAAATGTGTCAACAGTTATTTGCGAGCTCTGTATAAAAAGTTAATAATATTATTAGTCGTTTTTTCGAAAACTTATTTTCGATCCAAAGGTCCCATTTAACTTTCCTTGTCATATATCGTTACCTTAATATAGAAATGCCTTATCTAAAATTTTTGTTTCTGCACAGAGCGATTAAAAAACTTAATAGAAGACTGGAACTAATTTTATGCTGTAGCAGTTAAGCAAGGCTACATACATATACATATGTATAAATACATAAGTATATTGTACACACGAAACAAAACAAACAACAGTCCACAGGTGCTGTTCTAACGTCCGAATTTCAATTATATGTATGCATATACATATGTACATGTACGTGTATGTAATTAAAATAGTGAACTTCCCATACCTGGCTATAGCTGAGCTGCTAACGGTGCGATTTCTGCCCATGATTTCTTCAAATTCTACCTCCGATAACTGTGGGCCAATTGGTTGGTCAGGGAATGGACCTTGCGGTTTTGCCGGTGCTGGTCCCGGCCATGGGCCTCGCGGTGCTCCTTGTTGAGCAAAATGTGGTGGTGGGCCATGTTGTGGCGGCATGCCCATTCCCTGTTGTGGCGGTCCTGGTGGGCCGTGTGGCGGGCCACTCATGGGTGGACCTCCAGGATGTTGCGGCGGACCACCTGGCTGGGCAAAGAAGGCTGGATTGACGTGTGGTGCCGGTCCACCGGGGCCTCCGTGAGGGCCACCTGGAGGGCCGCCAGGGCCTAGTTGGGGCGGGCCGCCCGGCGGACCACGTGGGGGTCCTTGCATGTGCGGTGGTCCTTGTGGTGGACCTCCAGGTGGACCTTGAGGCGGAAAGCCTCCATGCATAGGTGGCCTACTCCAGTCTGGACGTGGCCCACGAATTGGCATTCCTCCTGGGGGACCCTGGAACTGAAATATACGTAGTATAAGTTATTAGTAGTGATGCTTATAATAGTGCGAGGGCAAAAATGCAATTACCATCTTTTTAAATGTTTACGGAAACAAATTTATCAGAATGATCTGAATGCGTTTCTATAAAAGTAACTTCTGCGTTTTTTGTATTACTATCACTGTACTATTTCTATGTAAAATTAAATTTAGCCTATTGAGTGCAAGTTTCATATCGTCTGCTCTCTAAAGAATGCTTTTCGAATTAGACCATTACAAGTATGGAATATAACGCTCATTTACTTCAATAGTATCACAATCCAAAAAAAAAAACAAATTTTGAACTAATACGGTGTTTACATGAGCCGATTTTACAGGCAACTTTTAGTTGAAAGCAACAACCGCTTGGTGTGAACGGCCTTTCAACTAATCGCTTCCAATGAAGTTGGGGGCAGCCAACTTTTGTTTCGCCTCTAAAATTGCCTGGAAAATCGCCTCATGTGAACACCGTTTAATTATGCAGAAATCACAGCTACCTCTTCATCTATGTTGTGTAAAAATTTCATAGCTGCATCGATTACCGGTAGCCCACTAGAACAAAATATGCATTCATTTTAACTATGGGGGTATATGTAAATTCAAAATTTTAAAGCCGTTTTTCCCCGAGTCTCGCTTTTTTAAGTTGACACTATTGAAGTAAATGAGCAATATGTACAAAACGCTCGTTTACTTCAATAGTGTCATAATCGAAAGTAATACAAAATCGAGAAATTACCGCTACCGGTTCTTCTATATTGCGTAAAAATTTCATAGTCGTACCCATTACCAGTGGTTCACTAGAACAAGTGGGAGTATGTAAATTCCCAACTTTAAAGCTATTTTTCCCGAGTTTTTGGCTTTTTGAGTTACGACAGTATTCAAGTAAAAGTGCGATATGTACATTTGTATTTTGTATAGCATTTTGAATACTTTTCTGTTATCGAGTATCTAGGAATAGTTTAATGAAGTTTGGAAATAACCATATGTA